ATGAAAATACCTGTGATTTTCACCAGCAACGATGTCACTGGTGTAGCTAACAGCAAAGATTTGTTGTCCCTATTCATAACTGAAGAACTTGCTACGTTTTATTGGTAAAAATGAAGATGTTATTTTTTTTCCCATCAAAATTTAAGACCCCTAATTTGTATCCACAGACCTTTGTAGGGGGATGTCCCTAAACTCCAGAATGTTCCACCCTCAAATACACACAACACACACACATGCACTACAGCCCACTCTTCACCAGCCATATTCTCAGATCATCCACTTTAAAACAGTACCCATTGATCTGATGACTTCTTGCCTCTACAGGGAATACACACACATGAAACATAGACATACATGCACGCAAGACATATATACACATAAAATAAAAATGAATCTCAAAAATTACAATTATAGTTCTATAATGTTTTGCTTTCCAATTGAATTTCACTATAGAAAATACCTACGAACACATCACCACACACCTGTAACCCAAGCATTTGGGAGTCTGAGACACAAAGATTACAGAGAATTTGCGTCCAGCCTGGGCTTCACAGTGGATTTGAGGCTAGTCTGGGCTCACACTTGATTATTCAGTGAGATCTTTCCTTAAACTTATTTGTTTGTTTGTTTGTTTTCATGACTGGAGAGATGACTCTGCAGTTAACTCTCATATTCTTGCAGAGGACCATAGTTTTGTCCCCAGCATTCAGGTCAAGTGGCTGACAAAGCCTGTAACTCCAGCTCAAAGGCATCTCACGCCCTCTTTGGCCTCCACAAGCATCTGCACAAACACACACACACACACACACACACACACACACACAATTAAAACTAGAATGTAATGCAAACATTTTCTCCTTTTCCATGTGTTTGGGCAAGGGCTACTCTGTGCCACTCAATCGGCTGTCTCATTTTACTGTGCAGGCCAGGCTAGCTTTGAACTCTTGGCAATTCTCCTGCCTCAGTTTTCCAAGGGCTGAGATTACAAGTGTGAGTCATGAGGTTTGGCTATACCAATTTCACATTTGTTTAATTAAGCCGGGTGTCTCTGTCCACCAGGAAGGAGGTACCAAGAGACCAGGCATCTATGGTCCTTTCACTTAAGCCTGTGCCCAACAGGTACCTAGCAAACAAGGCTCCACAAGCCTTCTCACTTTTTTCAAAAAAGTTAATGAGTGATGAGTGGCTTGTGAAACTTTTTATAACGAATATGGAATTAAAATTAGCTTTGTTGTTATCATTTTGTTGACACTTCCAAGGCTCACCTTAGACAATAGCACAGAGCTGTGGGAAAGACAAAGACCAGAGGGGATTTTGGCCCTAAACCAGCAGTGTCTCCTAAGGACTTCCTTTCTTCCTTTCTCTCTTTCTTTCTTTTTTCAAGGCAGGGTTTCTCTGTGTAACAACCCTGGCTGTCCTGGAACTCGCTGTATAGACCAGAACTGGCGTCGAACTCACTGAGATTCACCTGCCTCTGCCTCTCAAGTGCTGGCATTAAAGACATTTGCCACCACTGCCTGACCTCCTAAGGACTCTTTAGGGGGGCCAGATAGGGTCTCAAGTTAAAGAACTATTTCAAGGACTAAATAGAGCAGTTGTTCTTGCTAAGATCAATCACAAACTATATAATAATGCTACTTTTTATTTCTAGACTGAAGCGAAGGGCAGCCACACTGTGGTCAAGGTCATCTGGACTTAGGTGTCCACTCACTACCGGCAGTTATATGATTACTGTTGAGTTACTGAAGTCTTTCTGAATGGAGCTGATGGGCTTCTGCACAGGGCACAGAAAGAAGCACACACTCATGAAACGCTCATTCAATGCCTCTACCATCTCTCTAGGTCATTCTATAACTCCTTGCCAAGACATTTTCCCATTCCAGTTCATGGGTTCCTGCTGACCAGGGGAAACAACCTGCCCTGTTCTATCCTGTCCTATACAGAAGCTCCAAGGAGCAGACCAAACCTGCGGATCCCTTTAGACTGTCTCTATGCAGTGTGCCTCTACTTACATCCCGGATTCATGGCTGGCACTATTGTCAGGACCTTGACCATGTAGCCCATTATTTCCCACAGTTTCCTCCTCTAGTCCTTTCTGCCCACACTGGGAATTCTTGTCTGTATCCTCAGGAAAGATCGACAGTAGTATCCTCTTGTTCTCACCCTGAATGGGCAAAGCCCTGGTTTCAATCAGCAGCAGCAACAGCAAACACAAAAAGCAGGGGCTGGAGAGATGGCTCAGTGGTCAGGAATACTTGCTGCTCTTTCAAAGGACCTGAGTTCAGGGCTCAGCACACACACCAGGTGGCTCACAACCATCTGTAACTCCAGCTACAGGGCTCCCACGCCTCTGGCCTGTCTCACCTGGCACTCATGTGCACCCGCACACATGCTGACACACAATTAAAAGGAGGTATGCAGGGGCTGGAGAGATGGCTCCGTCCGCTAAGAGCACTGACTGCTCTTTCAGGGGACCCAGGTTCAATTCCCAGCACCCACACGGCAGCTCATAACTGTCTATAACTCCAGAGTCAACCCCCCTCATACACACATACACACATACACACAGGCAAAACGCCAATAAAATGAAAATAAATTTTAAAAAAGTAGGTGCACATACACCTATACCTAATTAAGAATAATTTTTTAAAAAATAAATAGAGTTTATAAGAAAGAAAACAGTTGCAAAGCCCTCAGGTACCAATGTGCACTCTGAACCCGGTCCTGCTTTACTTATCCAGGATGTCAATTTACATATTTATACACACGTGCGCGTGCACATGCGCTCTCTGGAACCTTCAGCCCACCAAAGGTGAAAAACAGATCCAGAGAGAGGTACTTGGTGGCTGCTTCACGTGGCCTTCTGAAAAGGAAAGCCAGGATTAGTAGCCATTAACTGTGCGGCAAGGCACGCCCAGCCTGCAACACCTGTTAGCAGACAGTGACCTTGGCCTGGGAAAATCTTCTCAGTGGACCATTGAGAGCCAGAGCCTAGCCAGGGCTAACTGTGAGGTGATAATGAGCCCCCCTCCTCTTGCCAAACAAGCCTCTTCAAACTTTGTGAATGAAGGCCAAAGAAGAGAAATTCTGCTGGTGGCTCTCTTCTGAGTTCATATTTCTTTCTTGTTGCAGAAAGTGCTTCTTTGTTGCACAGACACCCTCCCTTTCAGAGGATTTGAGCTGTTATGAGTTTGTTTATTATTAGATTTATTTCTCCTATAAGCAAATGTGTTCACAACATTCCACGGGGAATCTTCTTAATTGTCACATAAATGTCATCTTATGTAAATTGAATATTTATCTTTCCATGCAAGGGGGAGGTAGTGGAGGGGAAAGGAAAAATAAACAACCTTAAGTCTTGGAGAGGGAAAGGGATTTAAAACTCATCCACCTGCCTTCAAAAACAAAGGTGAAGGAAGGAAAAAAAAAATCATTGGATTATCTTGGAGGGGGCAGAAAACCTTGGCAAGGAGGAGATGGTTTGAGGATGCTGGGCCAGGCTTCTCCAAACCTCAGCCCAAAGCCAACCAACCTCCCCAGCTGGAGCATTCCCAGGAGGCAGAAGGTTGCCCCCCACGTGCCTACCCATCCAGGAGGCCTGCCCTTTTCCTTCCTAGAGAGAAGGTGAGCTCCTCGGGCGCAGCGGGTTGGGTGGGTGTGGCCCGCAGCTCAGGGAACCGACCCAAGGCTCCGCCACTGCCGGCTAGCCGCCCGACAGCCCGCCCGCCTGGCGAGCGTAGGCTCTTCTTCCAGAAACTGCGAGGATTGGAGAGCACTGTTTGTGCACCACAAGGTCAAGTCGGGAAGTGGAGTCGGAGGAGGAGGGGCGAGGAGGAGCGGGTGGGGAGAGGGGCGCCCCGCTTCACCGCCAAGTACCAGCCCTGGGAAGTTGCCCCTCGGTTTTTAACCCTTTGCGGTTATAAGAGGCACGAGGCAGAAGGAAGGGGGTGTCCGGGGCAAACTCCGCCTGAGGCTAGGACGCACTGCCACCCTCCTAGCCACCCACCCATCACAGCGCGCCTCACTCCCCCCCCCCGGAAATGCAGGGCAGCACCAGGCGCCAGGAGGCACCCGCGAGGGGGAGGGGGCAACGAGCCCAAGAAGGGACCCCCCCCCCCAGCAGCCCCTTTCTACTGGAGGTCGCCCACAATTTCAAGTTTCCCTGCCTGGGATGCTAGTTTGCATTTGGTGTGGGTGGGGGAGGAGGACCGCGCCCCCTCCCCCCAGCCCCATGCGCACCCCTCCCCTGCACTCCTGCCAGCACTTTCTGCTCACTTCTGGCGCTGCAAAAAACGCCACGCGATTTATTCGATTCCGGTTTTAAAACCAGTGATTCCTAAACCTGGCGAAGGGCTAGGGTCTTCCAGCTCCGGAGTCCCGGGGGGTGGGGCGGGCGGGCGGGGTACTCCGTGCAAGCCTCGTTTCCTCCGCGAGTGTCGCCTCCAGGCTGTTATTTGCAAAGAAACGTCTTTTTGACGCAGGGAGAAATGGCAAATTTTAAGTACGTCATTAATATGGCGCCAAAAGATTTTTTTAAGTATAAGCTTGCTTTTTTTTTAAGGTTGTGGGGGGCTCCGCCTGGGTCTGGGGCGCGAAGGGGGCGGGGTGTGAGCAGAAAGTGTGAGTGAGCGAGTGGAGGGGCGGGGTATGTGTGTGAGTGTGTGAAGTGTGAGCCGACCTGATGGGACTTGCACGGGCTCAGCCGGCGCTCGGGCCCGGCCCTGGGGACAGGGCGGGCTGGGGGCGCCCCGGAGTCCACGAGGAGTCCGGGCCCGCGTGCAAGCGGGCGGGGGACCATGCAGGGCACCCCCCACGGAGGGGCCCCCGCAACGCTACCTGGGACTGTCGCCGGAGCCAAACAACTGGGCGAGAAGGGGGGGGACACGGCGAGGGGGTGCCGGGAGCGGAGATCCGAGTGAATTAGAAAAAAGTGGCTACTCCCCCTCCCTCTCCTCCTGCCCGCCCCCACCCCACCCCCACCCCAACACATTTTTTTTTCTCCTCTAAAGAGATCACAAGGAAGTCTTGGTTTAAAAAGAAACAGAAACATACACAGGGGGTTGGTGAATGGTGCCGACCGCGGCCATCGCAGTTGGAGGCTATTTTTTGGGGGGGTGAGTAGCGTCCATGGAGTTACTTTGCGCCCACTCCTAGAGGCACCAGCTCAGGGATGGAGGGCTGACCGTATTCCCAGCAGGGGTGCGGGGCTTGGGGACGCTGCGGCCCGGTCGCCTCCCTCGCCACGACCCCGGATGGATGCGCGCCCCCCGCCCTCCCGCGCCGGCCCCAGGAGCTCCTGGCTTCAGGAGCATCCTTCCCGCGCCGGCCCCCGCCGCGGCGCGTAGCCGAGGGCAGCGCCCCTCGGGAGGGCACCGCGGACCAAGGTAAGAGCCAGCCCCCAGCGAATGGGCCCTGCGCATCTCAACGGCATTATTTTGTGGGCTTTTTTTTTTTTTTTTTTTTTTTTGCAACAGATCTGCCAGTGCTCCTCGCTCCCTCTCTCTCTCTTGCTCACTCGCTCCCTCTCTCTCTTGCTGGCTGCCTGTTCTAGGAAGCCAGCGCGGGGGGTGGGGGGGGGGGACGCACAGCACTGGGGAGAGAGATTGCGCATGTTGGTCAGCCGTGTTTTAAAGAGTACAGTGCGGGGAGGCTGAGAGGGGCACATGCAACAACTTTTGGAAGGGTGAGCCTGGCGACCTTCTTTATTAATGACTGCGGCAAAGCGCCCCTGGGCCGGCGAGGGGGCGCGGGCGGGTGGGGGTGCTGGCGCTGCAAGTTGCCTCGCGGGCTCCGGCCGGCCCGAAGGGCTGCGGCGCTACCGGGGTGCGGGGTGGGGAGGCCGAGCGGTTGGGAAGCAGGGCACGGAAACCCGGAGCTATCTGCCCTTCTGTCTCCCCGAGTTTCATTTTGTTGATACGCAGCACGTCCGGGTGCCGAACCGGACTGAGCCGATGCACATGACCCCGCGCTGGGCTCACGTGCAGCCGGTCCAGTCCTAGACACCTTCCGGGGGCCACCGCCTCCGCCCTGCGCCCCCTTTCCAGGCTGGGTGCACGCGGGCGCTGCACGCGGGGGCAGCATGCTCGGTTTCTGGGCTCAGAGGCATTGCACAAATTAGTTGTTTTTTTTTTTTTTTTTGAGGGGCGGGGGACAACCTTCCCAGGTGAGTGCAAGATACGCAGCCCAGGTAGCTAGGGTGCGTACTGGGGGTAGGGGGCAGAAGCCGTTCGGGGTTGCGCGGGAGTCCGGTGGGGGAAGAGGCGCTGCTGCTAGAGTGGAAATGTACCGGCGACGGCCGGAGCGGCGGGTGCGCGCTCACGGGGCGACGGCAGGGGGCGTGGCCCTTGTTTACCTTCTCCCAACTCTGCCGGTTCGCGTCCCGCTTTGGGGAGTACTCTGCAGCTCCCTGCCCTCCGCCCTTACACTCTGGGTGGTACCTAGGAGCAGTGGGCAAGTGGCGAGCCCTGCCTAGGACACACGCACCTGACCCCAAAATGAGTGACATTGCAGCCCCCGCCCCCACCAAGCACTGCTGCAGTCCCTCCGGCGGATCCCCCGCCCTGCCCCGCCCCCGGCAGTGGCATCTTCCCGGCTCACCTCCTTCCTCCCTCTCCCTCCCTCCTTCCCACCCACTTGCCTGCGCCTGCGGAGCGGCTCTCGCACGCCCACTCCCAGCCAGGGTGCAGACTTGTAGCTCCCCACGGTCCCTTCCCGCCCATCCCTGGGTTCCGAGACACCCCCTTCTCCGGGCAAGAGCTTATCCTGGGTCAGCTTGGCGACTCCTAGCTGTTCTGCCGGAGGGTGAGGACATTTGCAAAACCGGCTTGGAGGCTTCTCTTTACCTTACAGAGAGGCCCAGCCAACCCTACCCGGTACCCCTACTGCACACCTCTACCCAACTCAGCACCCCTGCCCCCACCCGGGGCTCAGTTGCCCTTCCCAGAGTCCCCCTAGAGCCCTCCCCCGCCTCGGGCGCCAAGCCCACCCACCTCCTGGCACCGCCCCCGGCCCGAACCGCCTCTTGCCCTTCCTACGCCTGGGCCGGAGCCCCCCGCAGCCACCTCCGGCTCCTCCTCCCAGCTCCCGCGGTCGGAATCACGCCGGCGCGCCTTCAACCTGCGTGCCCATCGCCCGCCACCAGGGGCAGGCTGGAGGCGCGCAACCTTCTTCTAATCCCCTTAGCGACTGCAGCCGGCCTGGGCACTTTTTTTTTTTAAACCAAGCTTGGCCTCAGGCCTCCTGCTGGGGGGGCGGGGGAGGGGAGCCGGGTTTCTTTATGCCCGACAGTACGTTGCACTGGCCATCTCAGGTCTCTGAAGATTTCCAAACTTCACCCTTGCCCCTAGCACACCCCCCCCCATCTGCAGAATTCCGAGGTACAAAGTTTTACCCAGAGGTAGTTTGCAAGAGGTCAGTGGGAGGGATTATGATTGTTTTCAGAGAAGTGCAGGAGGGGTTAGGGAGCCCCTTTTTGAAATGAAGAGTTTTGAGCCAGAAAGAACAGTTAGGGTGTACCCTTAAACATTTATATTTGCAAACAGGCCCGAGTTTGGGAGGTGGGTTCTCCTCCCAAAGTGGCACTGTCTCATCTCACTGGTAAAATTCCCAGTAGGACATTTGGCAGGAGGGCCAGTCAGCGGGCTGCCAACCGGGCCTGGCCCTGCTTCCTGGGTTCCCAGGGTACTACTGACTTCTTTTTCCCTAGCCTGATTGCTTTTTTCCCCTTAGTGCCCCAAGCGAACACACCAACCCTCCTGGGCCAATTGTCCCATTTTCCTTGGGCGGGTTGGGACTCGCAGAGCAATCCACTAAAGCAGAGGAGGAAAATAACAGAATAAACTGTAAGGGGGGTGGTGGATGAGTAATAAAACTGACCCAGTCAAGGAGGAAGGCTTTCATGTTTAGGCTATGCTATTTGCTTTTTAGGTCACAGGCTGCAAAAACAGGCTTTGATCCGAAGCGGGCGAATAATTTATTGAGAAAGTTTGCGTGGTGGTGGTGGGAGAGGATGTTTGTTTGATCTGGAGCCCTCTCCTCCGTAGTTCCAAGTGCTGTTGGCTGTTGTTTGGAGTGGAAAAGCATTTGGTTCCACAGCAAATGCTTAGTAGAGGGAAGTCCTCACCCTGCGCAGCAGGACTTACCAGCGAATGTTGGTTTTGAACTGTTTGGCCAAGGGTCTTCCCAGCACTCTTCACAGATGAAGTGTTTAAGGACAGGGTTATTTGGACTCTGGATACAGCAAATGTTTTCCCATCCAACAAGCTTTTCCATTTCCCAAATTGCCGGGCTAGATGGCCAGTGACTCTTACCCAAGAGTCTATGGTATCTCAGCACTTAGCTCACGCTGACAGTTTGGATATGTGATTTCCCCAGCTCCCTAGTGTTCCTTACTATCCAAGTTAAGCCTTTGACACTGACTCCTCTATTTTTGAGGTGGTGGGCAGCGTGTTCTGGTATTTACAGCCAGTGTTTCTGTTAGACTAGAAGGTGGCTGGTTGTCTTCCGCACCCATCAGGTACTTCACTGAGTGTGCAACAGGCCCTCTGGAAATTTTGTGGATGTTTAAGTTGGATGAGAGGAGGCCAGATAACTTTGGGACATAACTTTGACTTGTCCCAATATGAGACCTGTGTCATGTGACTTAAACTCTGAAGTGGTGGGTCTAAGCTCAAAGTTTAGGCACTAAGGGAGGTTGGTTCTGGGGCCTCAGGCAGTCCTCTCCGCTTCCCCTCAGCCATCCCATTGGAGTTTGGAAAACTTCCATTCATGCTAGGAACTGAAGGTCTCCCTACAAACCTGAGCCCCTTGACGGGGCAGCCAGCTGGCCTAGGTCTGAATGGAGTTTCCAGCAATGGCAAAGGCACTGTGAATCTCAGTTTATCAGCCAGTGGGATTGATGATAATTTCTGTCTAAGTAAGCATAGGAAATGAACGACTGTCTTAAAGACTCACCCTGAGACTGAGGATGTAGTTGGTGTAGCGAGTGCAAGGCCCTGGGTTCAGTCTCCGTCGCCTCAATGAAAAGGGAAGGGGGAAAAGCCCGAAGTGAGGCGTGTGGTAGCACCCGCACCATAGCAGCCAGTCTTGCTCTTAATGAACTGAGGCTAGCCAGTTCATTATCTACACCCTGGCCTTTGCTGTCAGCTCCAGGCTAGGCCAGAAAGACAACTGTCTTCTGTGCAGAAGAGATGAGAAGCATCCAACAGGTGCCCTTGGGCAGCTAGACTTAGAACAGTCCACTGAGTTTTGCCCTGGGTATTGGGGGGGGCGGGGGGAGGATAAGGTTGAGGAAGTACCAAATGACAGATTAGACAGAACCCATCACATTCGTGGGATCTCCTTGGTTGAGTCCCTAGAGCTGTCCTGCACAGTGCATGTAGGCGCTGGAAGCTGGAGCCTAGTGGGGACTCTTATAATTGCAGGTAGGCAGTGATGTGGTAGGAGAGGGTTCAGGTTCCCCTAGGGCTTGGAGAAGTAGAGTTGACAGTCACAGACAGCAACCCTCTGCCCTGTGCGCACAAAAGCACTTTCTGTATCTGCAATTATTGTCCCCAAGAAGGCATTAAAGTTAATGAGAGATAGGAAAGAGTGGGGCTGTGACCCCCGTTTGAAGCGGTTAAGGAGTGCGCGAGCTCTTGTTTTCTGAATGTCTGGCCTTCCTTGCACAAGGAGGCTCTGAGGACAGGTTTTCCAGCCGAAATATCATTAAATTGTATTAGCATCTTATTACACACACGCCTTCGCGGTCTGCCTCAGACAGGGAGAGTTTTTGTTTCTCTCTGAGAGATTGTGTCTGGAATGGTAAACTGCCTACTTGAAGGTCCCCCACCCCCACTTTTTTTTCAGGAGGACGGAATCCTGCTGTGTGTGTGAGGGCAGGCCTAGTGGCCTCTGGAGAGGAGAGGCCGGAGGCCAGGTTGGGGTGTTTTAACTGCCCCAGGGAGTGGCTGCAGTAGCTAGCCTGAAAGACCCACTGTTCCCAGGGTCAACTGGGAGGGCGTTAATGGAGGCCCAGGGTGTTTATTTGAATTTATTTGCAGAGACATCTTTAAAAGAGACTGGCATTGGGCAGTGGTGTTCCAGGGCCAGAACTTTAGTGGGGACTAAAGACGATGGCCTGTGCTGCCAAGAAAACATCTGCCACCAAATTGCTGCCCTATTACTGAGTTGACATTGGTTATTAGCCAGGAGCCCAACCAAATAAAGCTGCCTGGAAAATGTGTAGGGTCAAGACTGGGAAAGAGGACTGTGGAAACAGGAGGGAATCTTGGGCTGGGGTATTGGTGTCTGCCAGCAGCAGGCCGGCCAGCTGGGCTGTGTGGTCCTGACACTCCAGGAGGGAGGGACCAGAGTTTGCTCAGTACTCCCCATGATCCTGGGTCCAATTCTGCTAAGAGAAGCAGAGGAGGTAGGAGCCCGTGCTGGGTTTAACCCTTGAGAGGGTTCCTGGCGTTCTAGCCAGACAGCTCTTTACTCATTCCCGAGGAGGACGATTGGCGGGTAGCTGCACATACTGATGGGTTCTCCGAAGACAGAAACAGGGCAGCTAATTTCTCTAAGCAGGGTAATGGGCAGTAACTGACATGGGCAGCCGACCCAGCTTGTGCCCGGGTCTGGAAGCATGGAGAACCTTTGACTTGGAAGAGAAAACAAAAAGAAGCAGGGGCTGCGGCTGTGGTTGAGTGGTAGCGTTCTTGTCTTTCGTGAACGAGGTCCTAGGTTCAGTCCCCAGTCTTATGAAAAGGGAGGTCACTGTGTTGGGACCTAGTGAGGAAGGAAGGGGGTAGTCACTGTCAACCTTGAGGTAGGCAGGGTCCAAATTGGTGTAGGCTCTGGAGAGGATATGAGAATTTGGCCTTGGATCAGCTGGAAGCCTGTGAAAGAGTTTGGGGGTGGGGGGCAGGAGTTGGCGGTGTGATAGGCTTTATGCTTTAAAGATTTCTTTGATTGCCATGTGGAGTTAAGAGTCCGAGGCGAACGTGGTAGCGAGAGCAAGGAAATGAATGGACCAGGTGAGAGGTGAGATGGGCGTGACCCAGTGGGATGATCGTGGAACTGCGTGGAGTGGGTGTGCACAGGACTAGCCAGAGGTTGACTAGTGCAGAGGAGACACGGAGGCCATGGGCCACTACTGCTCTGTGGAGGGCCCTTTGGTCACCCACAGTCCAGAGAGCTCCCCGTGTGTGTTGCTATCCTGGGGTGGCATGGGAAGTGCAATGGACCCAGAAGATCCTTCTTGCTCCGACTCTCCTCTGCAGACAGGATTTCAGGACTAACTACTTCCTTCAAAAGCAAGTGCCTAGTGCCACTGGAGTCATCTGCCGCAACAGACCGTGCCTGGGGGGAGCTGGGAAAACCCGAGGCCAGGCTGATGGCAGCTCCGTCACTCCTGCCTGTTAACTGTCCCCATTCTTGCCAGCGCGCCATGTGGTTTATAACACGAAGGGGCTGCCTCATTGAGGAGGTCGGGTGTAGGTCTGCAAGCTGACAGGGTCACCTGTTGGTCTCTGGACAAGGACCCAGCACTATGAGAAGGGCCTGGGCAGCCATGGTCACTGCCTGTTCTTTCCAAAGGGCTGGCCCTGGTAGGGCTCCCCATTCTGGCTCAAGGCTGCCTGTGCGCGTTTACTAGCTAGTTAGTACCCGTGCAGCGCTCCAGCCGCTGTGTTGAGAGTGCTTCTCACTGAGTCTGGCCAGCTGATTCTAGCCAACAAATGTGTTTCATTTGGCCCTCTCAGGGTGTTCTTCAAATCCTGACTCAGTCGCCAGCTTTTTAAATTCAAATGTATGGGGAAATCAGATCCAGTTTACCTCCTGGGGGAAGTATGTCTTTGCCAAGACCTCTGGCCTTGTGAGCTACCGGTAGGACTAGGATCTGAACCCAACACTCCTAAGTCCATAGCTCCTGCTCCTCTTCCTCCTGGATTGGAGGTCACACCCAGGGACTTGTGCCTAAGCACGCCACAGGTGGCTACTGAGCTCTGCCCTCAGCCCCCAGCCAACTCTTAGTGCTGCAGGAGCTCCCAGTTTAGAAATATTGTTGCCCTCCTTGGAAATGAGAGCAGTTCCTGGACAGGGTTGATGGAGGAGCTGGAGGGGTGAATTTACTGCCACACCAGCGACAGGGCTAAGTGGGCCCATATGTGGGCCAAGGCCAGAGTTCTTTAGAAAGCCAGCCTTCCTCAGATCCTGGAGGTCACAAAAGGCGAAGTCTGGTACAAGCATTGTCACCTTGGGTAACTCCTGAGCCTCGGTTTCCTCATCTCTTAGGTTCTAAGAGTGAGGGGAAGGCAGTTGTCATATACACTATTAATCAAGGGCTAGCCTGAGATTCCCCATGGTGTTCTTGTGTGCTAGGGGACACACACCCCGCCCCGTCTGCCATAAAGAACAGGTCTTTATTGTTCCTTCCTCTTGGGTTGCTTGCTCTGGCAGGTGTCTTTCACTCTCTTGGCCTTTAGGAAACACTGGACAGCAAACAAGCAGCCCCATTGGGCTCCTCTCATTCTCTTGGAGGACAGTGGGGAGGACGCTTACCCAGATCTCTGGGCCAACCACAATGACCTTCCTGCTTTACCCTTGACCTCAAGTAGGTGCCTCTCTTACCCACTGTCTCTGCAGCACTACAGGAAGGTAGGCAGGGGCACCCCATAGTTTGACAAGGACTGTCTAGAGAGAGGAAGGGATGGGGGGGTCACTGGCTGTTGTGAGGCCATTCTAGGACTGAGCGGGAACGTGGTGGGAGTCCCTTAACGCGACTTGGTATTAACCAAGCGGGCTCCACCATTCAGACTTTTGCAAGACCTGGGGAAGAAATGGAAAGGCACAGCTTTCCAGGTTGAAGCTGATTCTTTGCACAAAAGGAGCTCAGGGTAACCTTGGGGATCAGGCCTTAGACTCTGGGGTTCGATGCTCATCTCCATCCAGTTAGGAGTGGGATGAGGCAAGCATCATCTGTAAATGGGGCTGGATCTTACATCAGCTGTCCGGCGCTCAGCCCTGTGGATGAGGTTCTGAGGGTCATGTGAGGGAGCCACCCTTAGTGTCTGAGAAGTTAGATGGTGCGGTTGAGATAAAGTAGGATTACATTTTATCTGAGAAAGGACCTGCTACCCTGTTTCCACAGCCCAGAGGCCACTATGCTCAGGATTTGGCCTCAATCATGGTTTGTGCCTTACCTTGAGAGCATGGTCCTGGCAGAATCCTTATTTCCTCTTCTCCCTCCTCCCTCTAGGGATGCTCAGGAGGTACCTGCAGTAGGTGATATTTTCTGGTCAGCTCATTTCATTGACTGGGAACCGGGACTTGAGTGGTCATTGTCACCTTTCGGTTTGTGCCTGCTGGTCTCTCTGCAGTCCTGTCCACTGGACAGACTTCTTGTCAGAACCTTTAACAAATGTTGGCCCTGTGAGTGGGTCGGGGAAGGATGAGGCTGGAAGAGAGGCGTGCCCTTATCCTTCTCTGCGTGGACATGTGGGTCGAGGATGCAGCTGATGAGGTATTTTCCAGAAAGACTGAGGATTTCCTTGGGTGTCTGTGAAGGTAATGACCCTTCTTGCCTTTTGTTGCAGATGGAAGAGAAGAGGCGAAAATACTCCATCAGCAGTGAGAACTCCGATACCACTGACAGTAAGGCCCTCCCACCTGGGGCTCCGATACCACTGATAGTAAGGCCCTCCCACCTAAGGCTCTAGAGGGGCAGCCTATAAGGAATACTGGCAGGCCCAAAGACTTGGTAGGAGGAGGCTGACCCTCCATTCAGTTCAGCCCAGGGCTGTCACATGGGTGAGACCAATTCAAGTCAGGTTCCTCTGCCCCTGAGGTAGCCAGTCCCTGCCCTAACCAGATCCTCACCATCCCCTTAGGGGACCCCACCCTCTAGGTACGCCTTCCTTCTGATCAGAATAGACCAACTCTGATCCTCAGGGTATTTGCTGTTGCCTGATAGAGGAGAAAAAAATTAATTCTTTGGCTTTCTGTTGAGTGGGGACCCTTTTAGGAGTCTCTCCAAAACGGACGCTTTGTAGCCCTTTATTATAGTTAGTTAATTATTAAAATAGAACAAGTAACTTCGTAACCAGTGGCAAACTCGGATCAGAGGATTCCTATCGTGTTCACTATGGCACATAGTAGGTGTTTTATAAATGTTGGCTGAAGAAATTAATGAAGAAGCACATCCTTCATGGAATCTTGGCAGTAGATTCTCAGAGGTAGGTTAGATAAGGGCTGGGTGTCTCGGTTGGATGTCTAGAAGTGGAGAGAAGGGTTCCTGTTGCAGGTTCCAGCTCCGCTAGGGCTGGTTAGTAAGACTGTCTAAAACAAAAGTAGAAAAAACCTTGAGTCTTCCTGACCCTTCTTGTTGAGGCCATTGCCCTGTAGTCTAGCAAAAGCCTCAGACCCTACAGTCGTGGCCAACTGAGGAATCCCTTGGCACCATTCTAAGGCTATAGATAACAGTATCCTTCAATCAGCCTTTCGAGGACCCTTCGTTCCGTATCTCGTTAATCAGCTCCTTGTTACTGTCATGAAATATGTGAAATTATTAGCCTATGAAAGGAAAGGTTTACTTAGCTCACCATGCCTGAGTGATTTTCTTCAGTGGCAATCCCTGTGAGGTTCCAGGCTCTAAAAAGTCACGCTGCCTCTCACCTTAGCCAGAGGACTAAGTCTTTGACACTCGGACCTTTGAGGATCTCCTAAATCATCACTCACGTTACAGAAGAGCGAACAGATAGCTAGCTACTCTCCACACTGAGGAGGCTGAAGAACAAGCATGAGTTCAAGGCCAGCATGTCTTGGTGTCATTTCCTGTTATTGGGATAAAATCCCTGGCAAAGCAGCTTAAAGAAGGGTTTATTCTGGCTCACAGTTCAGGGTCCAGTCCATCACAGCGGGGTGACAAGAGCTCGGAGCGCAGGGTCACAAGTTGTTTCTGCAGTTGAGAAGAGAGAGAGATGAGTGCTGAGGTTCAACTTGCTTTCTCCTTTTTATACAGTTCAGGACCCAAGCCTGTGTGTGATCTCTTTAGTGTGGGTCTTCCCTCTTTAACGCAGAATCGTCAAATAGTTCTGGGCTCTTGGCCAGAAGTTAACCAGTCCCTCACAGGTCTGCTGGAGGCTTACCTGCCTCCTAGGTGATTCTGGCTCCTGTCACCATGGTAGTTAACACTTACCCATCACCCATTCACCCCTTCCAGGCTTACAGGGATCAAGTCATTTATTTGTCTGTGGTGACCAGTGCCACTTGGATCTGCCCAGATTGCTACTTTCACATGCCGTACCCGGCCTCTGTATCTTACTGGGACCTGCAGAAATACCTTGGTACACTTAACCTGGGGCAGACAAGAGATAAGGCATTCCTTGACCAAGTAGGAAGCAGAGCCTCAGAGGTCCAGGGACTTTTCTTGGAGCCACAAAACCAGCTGATAACTGCCTTTGATTTCTTCAGCCCCTTTTCAGTGGTGAGTGAAGGGGGCTTTATAGTTAGTTTCATTGGTCTGTGGAAAGGCTGGGGCCCAGAACAGGGACAGTGCTTCCCACCTCCTGACCTTTCAAGCTGGGGCTCTTCTCGAGACTTGCCATCCTCTGATGTGGTTGGGTGCTGATTCTGACCCTCCAGGACCCTTCATGACCTGTGGTCTATCTGCAGGTCACGTGACATCCATATCAGCATCAAGATGTTCCAAACTGCCCAGCAGTACCAAGTCGGGCTGGCCCCGGCAGAACGAAAAGAAGCCCTCCGAGGTAGGTAGTGATGGTGGTAAGGTTCCCGGAAGGGTGAAGCTGAGCCGGGGAGGTGACTAGACCAGACATTTGTCGGGAGTGAGAGAGCAGGCTGAGCAGATGTATGAAGGCCACGTGTTCTTGGCCGAGGGTCAGAGGTAACCAGTGTGGCAGGATGGAATGATTGGGGGACAGTTTATCTAAGCTGTTCTTCTTGACCTGAGAGAAGCCTTTGAATGTTCATAACAGGATAGTGATACAATCTGATGTGTTTGTTGTCATGATACAGGGTCTCTCTGTGTAGACCAGGCTGGCCTCACACTCACAGGGGTCCACATACCTCTGCCTCCCGAGTGCTGAAGGTGTGTGCCACCACATCGGGCATCATAGTTTAAAAAAGATTCCACTGGCTGCTGAGGAAGAAAGTAGCTCACTTACAGCTCGTAATTTAGAGCTGGTGGCAGCAGATTAAAGAGTAAAGGGATTTCGGGTGCTTTGATACAGAACCGAGGATGACAAGGTTTGCTGGTGCTGGACAGAAAGGTAGAAGTGTTCAGAACCCTTAGATGCTTCTGACGATACTTGGTGTGTACCTACATTTTAAGCCTTCCTTGTTTTGACCCAGGGTAATGCTTTCATGTCCTGACCGTAGAGGTGTTTATGGCTTCTGTGGAGGGAGTCCTTGAGTTCATGAACTGGCATTAAGACCTTGCTTCCTGTGGCCTATGAAAAATTGCATACAGGAGCCCTACTGTTCCTTCTGAGGACTTCACTGGCAATGCTATTGGGCAGAGAAGAGGCCCTTGGTTTAAATGTGGCTACAATAGCCAGCCAGATGTAGTGGTAATGTAGGAGGATCTTCTATCTATCTGTTGCTTTCATTGGTTAATTAATAAAGAAAACTGCTTGGCCTGATAGGTCAGAACATAGGTAGGCGTGGAAGACAGAGCAGAATTGTAGGAGAAAGAAAGCATAGAGAGACAGGCAGATTCCATGATTCTCCGACCCGAGACGGACGTAGGTTAGGATCTTTCCCGGTAAGCCACCACCTCGTGGTGATACACAGATTATTAGAAATGGGATAATTAAGATGTGAGAGTTAGCCAAGAAGAGGCTAGATATAATGGGCCAGGCAGTGTTTAAATGAATACAGTTTATGTGTTATTGTTTCAGGGGCTAAGCTAGCCATGCCGGAGCTGGGCAGGACAAAAAGCAGGCCTGCCCGCCTCACCACTACATAGTGGTACACTCCTTTAATCCCAGCACTCTGGAGGCAGAGGCAGGCGAATCTACAAATCGAGTTCCAGGGCAGCTAAGGCTGTTAACACAGAGAAACCCTGTTTCGAAAATAAATAAGTTTATAACAAATAAATAAAGTGGCTGGGAGAACTTTGGGGCTCTGCATTTCCAACCTGGTCTTTATGCATGCAGCTGCTTTGCAGTTGATATGGGGTGAAGGACCATGTCTTTTCTCAAGCCACGTCCCTTTTCCTGTCGCTCTCCACTAGGGCCATGTGCTCTCTGATTTTACCAGCCCCTGGATGTGAATTTGGGGTGGTCATCCTATATGCTCTTAGCTGGTCTTCCCCAGAGCTTTGTACTTAAAAAAAGACTCGATGCCTTCCAAGATGTCCTGCGCTAGGACCCTACCCTTCGGAGGTGGGATTGGGACCCTGTGAGAGTGGTTTTTCATCTCCCTTTTAAGTTACAGTGATTTGTTTAGTGTATGCATGTAACCCATAGGTACACATGAGTCCATGTCTATGTCATGGCATGCATGTGGAGGGCAGGGAACAATTCGAAGGAGTCGAATCTTTCTGCCATTTGGGTTACCAGGGTCAAGTTCAGGCCCTTAGACTTGGCAGCAAGCACCCGCTGGGCCATCGCCCCAGCCTTCGTACCTTCCAAACCTGGGTTGGGTGGAAGCGAGAGGGAGGTGTTTCTGGGGTTGTAGTGAGGGAGGGAATTGGATGTTGGGTCTGAGGGGTAAGAGCACACTTTGGCTCTTCTATACCCTCTTCTTAGCTGGCTACTTGGGAGGACAGAGTGTACCAAACACAGTTTGGGAAGCAAAAAAAAAGGGGGGGGGTGAACTCTTGGAAGGTTCTGCCTCTTCATGGAGTGAGTAACTTTGTAGTCACCTTTCCTTGACCCTCCTGGTCCTGGGAGGCAGGAACTACCATGCACTTTTGGGACCTGAGGATGTTGCCTCTGAGGATCTTGCCTGTCTCCAGCTTCCCGGTGGTTCTGTGTATCTGCATGAGATGTATTGCCATGAAATGGGAAACTCCTGCGGGAGCCATCTTGTCCCCTGCCCCCCTCCCCAGCTCGTGGGGGATGGGACGCTTTCTACACTGGCTGGGATCAACCTTAGGAGGAAACAGGTGTCAGCAAAGGCTGAGAAGAAAGAGCAATTTGCATGGGGGCATAAAATTCCCCTGCCTCTTGGGTTTTCCAGCCCAGAGGCTTTGTACCCAAAAATAGACTTGAATCTCTCAAAAGGCCCTTTCTGGGGACTAGCTGTGCACAGCCCAGGCTCAAACCAGGAGCCCCTGCAGGTGGCTGTGATGTCCACCCATAAGGACTGAAGAGTCTTCCCTGCCTTGAACTGCAGCCAAGCCTTTCTTCCCACAGCAGGCTGGAGAACAGCCTGAGAGGTTTTCCTTGTCCTCTTGAGTGAGCGGGTTGAGCCGTGGCCGGTATAAATTCTGAGTTATGGTGGGGCAGAGAAGAAAGCATCAATGAAAGCTTCCAAATGATTTGGCTCGTGAGAGGGCGGAGAGAGGAGCTAGGACTTGGCTGCAAGAACGTTCTCATGCTCTGGTGAATGAACTGGAAGCAAGGGCCTTGCCCGTGAGCCTGGCTTAAGAGGCAAAGGTTCCAGGCACCCTAACAAAACAGGTTGTTGGGAGCCCCAACTGCCCGGCCCCTTGTGGGACAACTGCCAGGCTGGTCACACTCAGGACTCTCACTGTGGCAGAGAGGTACAGGAAACACCCCCACACACACACTCCACCCCACCTCCACTGCCTGTGGCTGCAGAGCTGAGGAAGCTGTGGTTCCCTCCGTTTTTATTCCTGTGTGTCCAGTAGTAGAGTTGGGAGCTTGAGGAAGCATGGTGCTTAGCATCGCACAAATCGTGGAAATGGAGTGAGCTGTAAGATGTCTGCGGGCTAGGATTAGAAAAAACAGGTAACGATTTCTTGTTTGTCTGGGGGTGCTCTTCACACCAATGTGGTCCAGGGCCAAAGAGCACAGACCAACAGTCAGGACCCTGGACAGGGCTGAAGCGAACTTTCCCTTAGGGCTTTTTACCCAGGCCTCTCCCCGAGTTGAAGCGAAAGGGGAGTTCCAGGCTGAGATAGAATCTGCCTTTGGGCCATGGAAGGGGAAAGTGGGGACTGGGCCAGGGTCTCAGTCTTCTCATTGACCTGTCTGTGGGATGGATGCCCGCAAAGCTGAAGTCTGTCCCTTGGGCCTTAAATTCAGAGAGAGGGGAACCCCAGTGTGAGAAGCTGGTACTGTGTAAATTCTGCTAGAGTCTCGGAGTTCCGGCTCGTGCTCTTACACCTGATAATGTTGGCATCTTACTGCTTCTCCCTTTGTGCATAGCGACTTTGTAGAATCAGGTACGAGCTACAGCCCAAGATCATCTGATATTCCAACACCAGCGATGTGCCCCAGCTAGAGGCCAGTACATAGGCAGTTAAGAACCTTCCTGCTGGGGAACAAGCTGAGAGCTGGACCTAAATTTTCCCCAGGATAAGGGGTCCAGGCTTCTTGCTCCCAGCAAGCTTCTTAGTGGCAGACAGCATCTAATTGAGAGCCAGTAAAGTGGCCTTCCTGCACATTCCCCCCCGGCTAGTGTCATGTTGTTCCCAATCCCCCCTACACACACACATGCAAACACACACACACACACACACACACATGCGCACACACGCACATGCTTGCAATGGACAAGGGCTACCTAAGTGCTAAGGATGGTTCTGAGAGACCTGGAGGCCTGACCTGTGGTTGGTATCTTCCTCATGCCCTGTGGCTGAAAGGCAGCCCAAGCAGTGGGGATGTCCCCTGGAGGTGTGAAGTAGTATCTCAGGAAGTCAGCAGCTACACAAGTCAGTCAGTGAGTCCCCGCCGCAGAGAAAGCTAAGCAGGCACTGAGGGGCCCAGAGAAACCTGGCTAGATACGGATACTGCAGAGCTTGTCTGTTGGGGGGAAGTACAGGCTGCTTTGCCTCTTTAGGAGCTTTGGAACCCTTGGCAAGTGACTCTTCTCTCTGAGTCTCAAGATCAACATCTGTAGAGACCCCTGCCTGGATCTTTTTCTGGGGATGTCTTTTCCCAGTACCCGTGTCCCCTGTGGGACGGTGTCTTAGTTACTCTTCTACCGCTGTGAAGACACGCTATGACCTAGGCAATTTACAAAAGGAAGTGTTTAATTAGGGCCTTATGGTTTCAGAGGGTTAGTTCATGATCATCGTGGTGGGAAGCCTGGTGGCAGGCAGACCGCACTAGAGTGTAGGTATCTACACTCTACACTTGATCTGCAAGTGTGGCAGAGAGACTGGGCCTCCTATGGGCTTTTGAAACTTCCAAGCCCACCCCTAGTGACACGCCCCCTCCGGCAAGGCCACACCTCCTAATCCTTCCTAAACAATCCACCAAACTAGGGACCGAGCATCCAATTACAAGCCTGTGGGGACCATTTTCATCCAAACCATCACAGAGAGGAAGGTTCCAGAAGAGCGTGGGATGGATGGATGTCAGGAGAAGCTGGCCATTTGGAATGGTCCAAGTTGGGATCCTACAGTCCACTCCTCTGTAGGCTCTGCTGAGAAGTGAGTGTTTCTAGAAGAGAGAATGGGAGTGAAGAGGGGACTTCACACATTCTACAGAGGTCTTCCCCCTCCCCCGTGTCCTGCTTCATGTCCACACATGGTCTGGCTGAGAAAGTGAAAACAGCCTCTATCATCAGCAATAGGATGTCCCTAGGTGTGTCCTAAAAAGCTACATGAGGA